TTCTTTTTGCTTATGTGGTGCTGAGGAATTGAACCCAGGGCCTCATGCATGCAAGGCAAGCACTCTACCACTGAGCCACCTTCCCAGCCCCATAATTTATTGATTTCTTGATCTCTCCTATCTCTCCTCCCAATTTTAATTTCCTCTGTAAAGTGAGGATTATGGTTTTTCACTATTGTTTTGGTATGAGACAGGGCTAGGTTTCTTATAGTCCTCCTTCCACACATTCTTCATTTACTTTGTCTACAGACAACAGTGTTGGACTATGTGATTAGAATTCATATTATGACTGAAACACTAGTCACAGTTGATCAACTCAGTTTGAGTGGATTCCTTTCTGATAGAAGCTTTTTTTTTTTTTCCTGGACTTAATTTACTTGTTTTGAAGACTGTGTGTAATAGAGCTTGAACTCAGGGTCAGGGCTTTGTGTTCTTTAGTTTTTTCACTCATGGGTGGTGCTCTGTCATTTGGCCATGCCTCTACTTGCACTTTTCTCTGTTTTGGTTGTGTCTATACCACTGATATGCCTGCAGATGCTCTGGTAGAGTAGGAACCTTGAGAATTTCTGAGTATAGTAGGTAGTCCACTCTGGTAGTCAGCACTTTTCCCTCTCTCCAGTAGGAACTAGCTGCTCCCAGGCCTGCTATAAATCTGACTTCTGAGATTTCTTGTCTTTTTACTTATCCCCCCTTCATTTTTTAAATTTTGCCAGTACCGGGGTTTTAATTCAGAGCCTTGTTGGTACTCTGTCACATGAGTCACATGTCCAGCCCAACTTTTTGCTGGTTATTTTGGATATGGAGTCTTGCAGGCCTTTCTGTCTAGCTGGCTTCAAACTGATACCCTTCAGATTTCAGTCTCTTGGGGAGCTAGGATTATTGATATGAGTCACCAGCACCAGATTACTCCTTCCTTGTGATGGGCTTAGAAAAAACAGTTTAAGACACCTTGCATTCTGAAAACATCTTTATTTTACCTTACAACCCTGTAAGGTAAAATAAATAGAACAGTAAAGGCACTACTGCATTGTCTGGTTCCTTTTGCTGCTGAGAAATCTGAGGCCATTCTGACTCCTCATCTTTTGTGGCTGGGATTTTTTTTTTAATTCCTGTTTATTACTGTGCCTGGTGGGTCTTTTTACTAGTGTGAGCTAGGCATTCAGTGGAACTTATACTCTGATACTGTGTAGTTCTTTGAAGTTTGCTTTTTGCCCTTTGTCATCTGTTTTTCCTTTGAGGAATCTGGGTTTTACCTCCTTATTTAAGTTTTAAATTGTATATGTTTTGGAGCATATATGACATTTTGGTCTACTTCGCAGGCTCAACCACATACTTTTCAACTTTTGAGAGCTCTTGTTTAAAACCTTACTTTCTGACCCCTTCTCATTTTGCTTTATGGATGCATTATTTTCTCTCTCCCAACATTGCCTCTTTTACTTCCAACTTGCTTTGGTTTTTCTTTCTTTCTTTTTTTTTTTTTTTCTTTTTTTGGCCAGTCAACAGGGCTTGAACTCTATACCTGGGCACTGTCCGTGAGTGCTTTAGTTCAAGGCTAGTGCTCTACCACTTTAGCCACAACACCACTTCCTGTTTTCTGGTGGTTAGCTGGAAATAGAGTCTCACGGACTTTCCTGCCCTGGTTGGCTTTGAACCATGATCCTCAGATCTCAGCCTCCTGAGTAGCTAGAATTATAGGCATGAGCCACTGGTGCCTGGCTTGCTTTGTTTTTTTCTGACTTTTCTGTTACAGTAACACTTTATATCTGTGGTTGTCTTAATCTTCCATTCATATTTTAAAGTAAGATACTACACTGGACACAGGCATAGACCTGTAGTCCCATTTATTTGGGAGGTCAAAGCAGGCGGATTGACTGAGCTCAGGAGTTCAAGACATGTCTGGACACTTACATCCTGGAAAAAAAAAAGTTCCCTAAAAGAGCCAGTATGATGGTACACCTAGCACTTGGGAGGTTGAGGATAATGAACTCAAGGCCAGCATGGACTACATAGACAAACTATCTCAAAAGGGAGGCGTGGGAAACAACATATAGTTGGGAGGGGGAGGGCTAGGCTGTGGTGAATAATAGCTTTCGCTGTAATAGTGATTAGATAGGGAACCAAATATTTTGTTGTAGGACACTGTAGATAGTTTTTGACTATAGTTAATTTTTTTTTTCCTCTTGGTCTATGATTCTCCAGAAAAGATTCTTCCAGTTTCAATTCTGGGGTCTGTAAGCTGGATGCCAGGGTTCTGTGAGAATAGAAGATAACTGTGCCAGTGCTGAGGGGATGGAGAGGAACAGCTACTTTGGCAGACTGGTCGCCAGTCTTTTTGTCCTCCCACCAGTTCCCCAGGTTTGATTGGGCATTTTACAGGATTTTCAATGTTTTCATGTTTGCAGTCATACTATGTAGTGGCCAAGTAGATGGTACTTTTTTTTTTTTTTGCCAGTCCTGGGGCTTGAACTCAGGGTTCAGGCACTGTCTCTAAGCTTTTTTCCTCAAGGTTAGCACTCTACTACTTGAATCACAACTCACTTCTGGTTTTTGTGGTGTTTAATTGGTGATAAGAGTCTTACAGACTTTCCTGCCCAAGCTGGTTTTAAGCTGCAATCCTCAGATCTCAGCCTCCTGAGTAGGTAGGATTATCATTGTGAGCTATCATTGCCTGGCTTTAGGTGATACTTTTTAGCTTCTTGTATTTTGTTGTCTTTGTTTCTTTACCTTGTTCTTTGGTTTCCTGTGTTTCATTCTACTGATTTAAGTGTGTGATTCATACAGTTGTCTTTCTTGTGGCATTTGGTGAGTGAGGTCAGCACATGTGTGCACATTTAGTCCACCCCCTTTAGTTAGAAGATTGTTCTCTTTCTAGCTCTCTTCTGTGTTGCTCAGGATGACTCCAAACTTTTATTTTTTATTTTTTTGGTCGGTCGTGGGGCTTGAACTCTGGGTCTGGGCGCTGTCCTTCAGCTCAAGGCGAGTGCTCTACCACTTGAGCTACAGCGCCACTTCCGGTTTTCTGGTGGTTTATTGGAGATAGGAGTCTCATGGTCTCTCCTGCCCGAGCTGGCTTTGAACTGAGATCCTCAGATCTCAGCCTCCTGAGTAGCTAGGATTACAGGCGTGAGCCACCAGCGCCCGGCTGACTCCAAACTTTTAGACTCAAAGGCTCTTTTTGCCTCAGCCTCCCAAGTAGTTGAGTATTATTAAAAGGTTAAGACCTACTGGACACTGATGGCTCATACCTGTAATCCTAGCTGCTCAGGAAGCTGAGATTTGAGGATTTGAGGTTCTGAGCCAGCCCGGCCAGGAAAGTCTGTGAGACTCTTACCTCCAGTTAACCACCAGAAAACTGGAAGGGGACCTGTGGCTTAAAGTGGTAAGAGTGCTAGGCTTGAGCAAAAAGAGCTCAAGGAGGGCTGGGAAGATGGCTCAGTGGTAGAGCGCTTGCCTTGCATGCCTGAGGCCCTGGGTTCGATACCTCAGCACCACATAAGCAAAAACAAAAAAGCCGGAAGTGGCGTTGTGGCTCAAGTGGTAGAGCGCTAGCCTTGAGCTGAAGAGCTGAGGGACAGTGCCCAGGCCCAGAGTTCAGGCCCCACGACCGGACCCAAAAAAAAAAAAGAGCTCAAGGACAGCTTCCAGGCCCTGCAACAGACCAAAAAAAAAAAAAAAGGTTGAGACTTTTTCCAAGGAGTTTTAACATTTGAGGTTTCTTTTCTTGATGCTTCTTTTCAGCAGTGTAAATATGAACTGTACTATGTAAAGAAAAGGAGAGGGCTGGAAATATGGCTTAGAGGTAAAATGCTTTCTTTAGCATGCAGGAAGCCCTGGGTTCAATTCCTCATTACCACATAAACAGAAAAAGCCAGAAGTGGCAGTGTGCTCAAGTGGTAGAGTGCCAGCCTTCAGCAAAAGGAACTGAGGGACAGTGCCCAGGCCCTGAGTTCAAGCCCCAGGACTGACAAAAAAAAAAAAGAGATAACGAGAGGGAGGCAGAGAGACAAGTCATAGGCTGCCAGTGAGTGAATCTGTTAAGGTTTTTGTCTCTGAATGTATTGCAGCAGTAAGTGATGATACTATAAATTGGCAATTAACAAGCTGTTTCTTCCTTTGTTTCTTTTTGTTTGGTATTTTGACAGTACTAAAGTTGGTCAGCCTCATGCTTGCTAGACAGGGACTGTACCTCTTGAGCCATACTTCAGCCCTCTTTGTTTTAATTATTTTTCAGGTAGGGTCTCAAGCTTATTGCCTGGGTCCAGCCTCAAACTACCATTCTCTTAACTACACCCTACACCCTACCATGTGTAGCTTATTGTTGCAATAGAGCCTCTGAAACTTCCTACTCAAGCTGGAACCATTATCCTCCCAATCTGTCTCTCAAGTAACTGAGATTGTATGAGTGAGGCACTGTGCCTTCAAACAAGGATGTTTTCATGTGAATGACTAAGGAAATGATTGGCCTCTAACTTAACAAGCATATATGTGCAGTCAAGCTATGTAACCAGTGTGTCTTAAGCTTCATATTAAGTTCTGTCAACACTTTTGCTGTGTTCTTTATATTAGCAAAGTAACACAGTTCGTTGCCTTAAGGAATAATATTCATGTGTATTTGTATGTGATATGTATTCTCTTTGCACAGTTGCACACGGACAAGAAACAGATCAGTGTGGGGTTCATTGGCTATCCAAATGTAGGCAAGAGCTCTGTGATAAATACATTGCGCTCCAAGAAAGTCTGCAGTGTGGCTCCCATTGCAGGTGAAACAAAGGTATGTCTGGCTTACAGAATTCTCCTGCATATTTTTTTAATGGAGGGTGATTGTTTAACACATGCAGTTTTTGTTTTGTTTTTGGTGTCAATTCTTGGGTTTGAACTCAGGATATCCTCTAGGCACTATCCCTGAGCCTTTTTTTTTTTTTCAAGACTAGCACTCTACTACTTTGAGCCACAACTCCACTTCTAGTTTTTGAGTGGTTAATTGGAGATCAGAGTCTCATAGACTTTTCTGCCTGGGCTGGCTTTAAACCACAATCCTCAGATCTCAGCCTCCTGAGTAGGTAGAATTACAGGCATGAGTCACAAATACCCAGCGGATTCTAGCTTTTTGCTGGTAACTGGATATAAGAATCTTGCAGATTTGTCTGCCTGGGTGCTTCCAAACCACTATCCTCAGATCTCAGCCTTGAGCCTTGTCCTGAGTAATTAGGATTATAGGATTGAGCCACTCACATCCAGCTCTACCCACTTAGGTAAGAGTGCTTTGTATACTATTTGATTCCTATGTGATTTAATGGATGACATTCAGATTTAAGGCTATTTTAAGTTGTCATTCCAGCCTTCTACTTTGATGGACAAAACTAACAGGAATATTTAATGTCTAGGCTAAGAAAAGACACCTAGAATAGATTCTGATCATTGAGGGGTCAGTACCTAGAACACAGAATGTTCTCCAGGGGAACAGTATGATTCTCTCTAGAAGCAAAGAGAAAATAGTACTGTGCTTCCAAAAGTAATTTTAGAGGCCACTTTTGTTACTGTGCAATCCTAAGTGGAAATGCTGTTTGATTTATTCTTAGACACTTAGCCTGATAGAAACTAGTTTATATGGTATAGAGAGGTATGTTCTTAAGCTGGATCACGTAGCAGAATGCTTTTCTTCAAGCCCTCCCTTTTGTGCTCTAACTTCAACCATAGCTTCCGGGGTTTGAAGTGTTAGACTCAGGATGTCTCTGACTTAGAATTTTATGTTCCAGGTTTGGCAATATATTACCTTGATGCGTCGGATATTCCTGATCGATTGTCCAGGTGTGGTTTACCCCTCTGAGGACTCAGAGACAGACATCGTCCTGAAAGGAGTTGTGAGTATTAGGTCATAATAGCCTCTGCCTGCCTTCTTTGGTAGAGGAAGTTGGGGGGTTGGATCCCCAAAGACCTTTGTTTCTTGTTGGGAAGGCAGTTTTGGATCAACTTGTCTAGCGAAACTGGGGAACATGATGCTGAACATGGAAGCCTCCTTCCCACTTTGTCTACCTGAGGAGGTTGTGGGACCATAGACAGATATGGTCAGTGTCACCCCACAATACAGTGTGTAATTTACACACAGGATCCAGAGGAGAGCAGAGCCTGTTGATGCTTAGTGATCATTCATCTCTGTGTGTTTATGGGTTGAGTCATTTTGGAACCCAGTCATTTCCTTGCTTGTTTCTGAATATGCCAGAAACTTTAAATGGTTCCCCTTAAACATAACCATGCCTCTGGCCACACATTCTGTGCATATTCCTCTCCTCTGTTCTTAAACTTTCTCAGTATTTGTGTCCTGAGATTGGTAGGATTTTAACCATTTCTACAAATGGGTAACACAAATTGTTTTAAGCCCATGCTTCTTGGAGAAGCCACACAGCCAATTTGTGGTGAGCTGGAGTTCTGGACTCCTTGTCTGTGGTCAGTGGTTCTTGCAGACCACCATGTCTGGCCACCCCAGAGGCAGGCTTCTTCTGCCAGGCTCCACTCACTCTGTGATATTGAAATTCATTTGGCTTTACAAAGAGCACCAGAACTTCCCGAGACCACAACATAGTTTGCAGATTTCTATTACCATCTAGGTTCAAGTTGAGAAAATTAAGACTCCTGAAGATCACATTGGTGCTGTTCTTGAACGAGCAAAGCCAGAATATATTAGCAAGACATACAAGATTGATTCTTGGGAGAATGCTGAAGATTTTCTTGAGAAGCTAGCTTTCCGCACTGGGAAATTATTAAAGGTGAGCCAGGGTCCGTGGAGAGTGGATGTGGTATAAACTACAGGGTGTTGTAGAAGGAGATATGTGAGCAGTGGGAAACTTGGCAGGTGAATGATGTTGAGCACCTAGGACAACTAAAATACCTCTAAAGTAAGAGGTGATTTTTTTTTCTGAAAGTTAATTGAGAATATTTCCTAACATTTCAGGGTGGAGAGCCTGACTTGCAGACTGTGGGTAAGATGGTTCTCAATGACTGGCAGAGGGGCCGGATACCTTTCTTTGTCAAGCCTCCCAGTGCAGAGCCACCCACTTCCCTTCAGGTAAGAACTGGAAATCATGGTCACCGGAATGTAACTTTTGATTGCTTCCCTCTGTAAAGCATCTTCTTTCTTGCTTTGTGGTAATATTTTAGCTGTGTGTCCTCCTGGACTGCTACCTTCATTACTTTTGGGAGCATTAGACTAAAAAGCAGAAATACGTCAGACATCAGCTTAGATACCACCTTGGGAAAAGATGGCGCTTTTTAAGTATAAGAGTCTTCTTGACAGTCTTTTCTTACATGTGGAGAACAAAGGCACTGCCAAGATTAATTTATTGAATAAACATATATTGGAACCAACTATGGGTGCAGCATAGGAACAAGGGAATGAGTATTGGCCCTTGCCCTCAAGAAATGTGTGCTCAAATGGGGAAGTAGAGCATGTAGTTGGTGCTCCAGGAAAGTGGTCTTGGGTTTGGAGCTCATCCACTGTTCAGGAAGGTTCTCAGTTGTCCCTTTTTCCCCTTTCACAGAAGTGACTGCCCCAGGGCATAACAGTAGCACTTGGCTTTTCTCTTTCTAGGGCCAAGTCTCAAAAGATGGCTTCAAGTTTTGTACTGTGCCAATATCATTTGCGTTCATATAATTTTTTCTGACAGGTTTAAACTCGGGGCCTTGCTCTTATCACTTGAGCCATACCCTAGCCCTTCATATAGGAACCCATTTCCAGATTTGCAACTGTAGTGGGGTGTTTGCATTTGAGTATTTTCCTCAGCATTAAAAACTTTTAACATGGGGGCTGGGAATGTGGCTTAGTGGTAGACTGCTTGCCTAGCATGCATGAAGCCCTGGGTTCAATTCCTCAATACCACATCAACAGAAAAGACCAGAAATCGTGCTGTGGCTTATGTGATAGAGCTCTAGCCTTGAGCACAGAGAGGCTCAGGGACAGAGCCCGGGTCCTGACTGGCAAAAAAAAAAAGCTTGAAATTGATGTTAATCAAATCCTTTCCCCTTTCTCTTCCCTATAAAACCACAGCCAGCCAAGCAGAACAGGTCTTCCTTTTCAGTGTAGGTGAAGTCAGTCAGTTGGTGGTATATTCATTCAGCAACTATGCATAGAGCATTTGCTATGTGCCAGACTCTGGGTACTGGAGGTATTCCAATGGCAGAGTAGGCAAGATCCCCTGCCCCACTGCATGTACATTCCTGTTGGGGGAAGGGGGGAGGGAGGGGAAGGGAGGAGAAGAGAGAGAGTTATAAACTACTAAAAAAAACCAGAAGTGGCACTGTGGCTAAAGTGGTAGAGCACTTGCCTTAAGCAAAAAGAAGCTCAGGGACAGCACCCAGGCCCAGAGTTCAAGCCCTAGGACCATCAATAATTTAAAATAATAATAATAGTAGTAATAGCCAGTTTGCAATAAAAGACAAAGGGCAGAAATAGCCAAATGAAAGCCATGGCCAGGGCAAGGAATGGAGAATAGCCAGGACAAGGCATATGTAAGAGCCAGTAGCTTCTGAGTACTTTCTGGGTATGCCTACCTCCCAGCCCACAAGTATTGTCACTAACCTGGAATTGCAAACCCTATTATGGTTAGTTTTTTGTTTTTTGGAGTTTTTTTTGGCCAGTACTGGGGCTTGAACTCAGGGCCTGGGCACTGTCCCTGAGCCTCTCTGTGCTCAGGCCTAGCACTCCACCATTTGAGCCTTAGCACCACTTCTGATTTCTTCTGTTTATGTGGTACTGAGGAATTGAATCAGGGCTTCATGAATGCTAGCAAGCACTCTTAAGTTACATTCCCAGCCCTAAGGGGAGATTTTTATGGAGGCTTTAATATATGAGTAGCCATTGGTGATTGAGCTCAGTCTCCAGCCCCTCTACTCCCCAAGAGGTCTGAGGTGGGTGGGACTGGAAGGTGGCTCAGTGGTAGAGCACTTGCCTTGCATGCATGAGGTCCTGGGTTCGATTCCTCAGCACCACATAAGCAAAAAGAGAAAAAAGCCGGAAGTGGCGCTGTGGCTCAAGTGGTAGAGTGCTAGCCTTGAGCTGAAGAGCTGAGGGACAGCGCCCAGGCCCAGAGTTCAGGCCCCATGACCGGACCCAAAAAAAAAAAAAAAGATATCTAGGGATGATTTAGTATATTAGCTTAAACTCAGTGGGGTAGAAAGGGCCTGATTTAGGTATCAGTGCCATGACTGAACATGCCAAGCTTTCCCTAGTGCTTCTTTCTACCATCTTATCCATGCAAGCTGAACTCTGAACTTGAGATTTTCCAAAGTCAAAGCAGCTGGGTAAAGTGCTATGTAAGTCCAGGAAATGCTATAAAAATTTGTATATTCTCTAGTGAGGAGATTTTTTTTCAGTTTTCAGATTCTCAGTAGGTTTCTGCCTCACACAAAAAAGAAGACAATTAGCCTGGCGCCGGTGGCTCACGCCTATAATCCTAGCTACTCAGGAGGCTGAGATCTAAGGATCGCCGTTCAAAGCCAGCCTGGGCAGGAAAGTTTGTGAGACTCTTATCTCCAATAAACTGCTAGAAAATGGGAAGTGGTGCTGTAGCCCAAGCAGTAGAGCCCTCGCCTTGAGCTGAAGAGCACAGGGACAGCGCCCAAGCCCAGAATTCAAGCCCCACGACCAACAAAAAAATAAGACAATGACAGAGTAAGGGACAGAATAATGCTTCCAAGAGTTGTGTAGACCACTAAACTTGGGTACAGTTGCTCATTAAAACTCCCTGAGCTAGGCGCTGGTGGCTCACGCCTGTAATCCTGGCTACTCAGGAGGCTGAGATCTGAGGATCATAGTTCAAAGCCAGCCAGAGCAGCAAAGTCCGTGAGACTCCTATCTCCAATAAACACCAGAAAACCAGATGTGCTGCTGTAGCTCAAGTGGTAGAGTGCTCGTATTGAGCTGAAGAGCTGAGGGACAGCGAGCACCCAGGCCCAGAGTTCAGCCCCATGATCCACAAAAAAAACTCCGAGTGGCTTCCCAACATACTAGCTCCCCACATCACCCCTCTTTAGCCAGTGACTTCTCAGTACTCTGGATGTCCCAGGCACATTTTGGGGTGCTCTCTGCCCCCTTTGTGGCAAAGAGATTAGGATGGCTTTTGCCTTTGTCATGAAGATGTGTATAAAATACAAGCTCCTCAGATTCCCCACTCACACCGCACCACCTCTCATTGGGTTAGTTTCTTCAGGTGCAGGACTTCTGATCACGTACTTGGCTGTTGGTGTATCAAACATGTAGTCTTTGTCCCCATACAAAGCTCCTAAAATCCTTGGAATTTCATAAAAGGATATGAGTATTATGACATTATTCAGAAGTAACCCCTTGTTAAGTACCAGACTGAATTTTCGTTTTCTGATTCCATTTCTCTTCCTGCTCAAACCCTCCTTTGGGCCTCAATAGCCTCCACCCTCCTCATCCTTGGAAGTTGTCACAGATGCTTCCCAGAACATTCCAGAAGAGGAACCTGCAGAAAGCAAAGAGCCTGTCATTGAGAGAGAAAAAGAAGAAGACAGTCCTTGTGATGCCAACTCAGAGATGCAGCAGATTTTGGCCCGGGTTCGCCAGAACTTTGGCAAAATCAACGTCGTGCCACAGTTTTCTGGGGATGACCTGGCTCCTGTGGAGATATCAGACATAGAAGAAGAGCTGGAGAGCTTTTCTTCTGATGAGGAGGAGCAGGAGCCAGCAATAGACGAAGAGGAGGAGGTGGAGGAAGGAGCTCTCCAGGAGTCCCCAGCAGAGCCAGTGGGAAATGACACCAAAGCAGTGATTAGAGCGCTGGACGAAAAGATTGCTAAATACCAGAAGTTTTTAAATAAAGCCAAAGCTAAAAAGTTTTCAGCAGTCAGGTAATAGCTTGCCATCTAATGAATTGCAATTTTTTCATTTCTTTGCCCAAAACTTGCTAGGAAAATTAATGTTTTTGTTGTCATTGACTCAGAGCATCAAACTTGCTAGGCTGAACCATACTTCTAGTCCTTTGTTTTACTTTTTTGTTATATTTGTTATATTTTTATATTTGTTTTATATTTTATATTTTGTTATATTTGTTATATTTTGGTTTTGTTTTTTATAGGTCTTAGGGCTTGAACTCAGGGCCTGAGCACTGTCCCTGAACTGCTTTTTTTTTTTTTTTTTTTTTAACTTAGAGCAGTTCTTCAGTCTTTTCCAACCTTTTGTTATGTTGTTGGTCATGGGGTTTAAACTCCTGTCGCACGTCTCTCCGAGCCTTTTTGCTCAAGGCTAGTGCTCTACCACTTTATTTTGATCCATAGCACCAGTTCCCCCTGAGACCTTTTTTTTTTTTTGTCAGTCATGGGGCTTGAACTCTGGGCCTGAGCACTGTCCCTCTGCTCTTTAGCTCAAGGTGACTACCCCTTGAGCTACAGCACCACTTCCCGTTTTCTGGTGGTTTATTGGAGATAAGAGTTTCAGACTTTGTTGCTGGGGCTGGCTTTGAACCACAATCCTCAGATCTCAGCCTCCTGAGTAGCTAGGATTACAGGTGTGAGCCACTGGCGCCCAGCTCCCCCTTGAGCTTTTTTGCTCAAGGCTAGCACTACCACTTTGAGCTACAGCACCACTTCCAGTTTTGTGGTAGTTAATTGGAGATAAGAGTCTCACTGGACTTTTCTGCCCTGGTTGCCTTTGAACCTCAATCGTGAGATCTCAGCCTCCTGAGTAGCTAGGATTAAAGGAGTGAGCCACCAGGGCCCAGCATTGTTTTTGACATAGTCTTGCTAATTTCTTGCCCAATCTGATCTCCATCCTCAATCTAATCTGTGCCTCTGAGTAACCGGCTTTCAGGTATGTAACACCATATTTGACCTTGCTTTGTTTTGTTGTTGTTGTTGTTGTTGTTTTTTGGTCATGGGGGCTTGAACTCTGGGCCTGGGCACTGTCTTTCAGCTCTTCAGCTCAAAGCGAGCGCTCTACCACTTCAGCTACAGCGCCATTTCCGGTTTTCTGGTGGTTTATTGGAGATAGGAGTCTCACAGTCTCTCCTGCCTGGGCTGGCTTTGAACCGCGATCCTCAGATCTCAGCCTCCTGAGTAGCTAGGATTACAGGCGTGAGCCACCAGCGCCCGGCCTTGCTTTGTTTTGTATTGCTTAGGATAGTACCTAGGGCCTCATGCTAGGCCAGTACTCTTATCCCTGCGCTACATAGCCAACCTGCACAATATTTTTATGGTGGGTGGAGTCATTAACATTTTAAAAAATTAAATTTTGTCACATTCAGTTACCAAAAGTATGTGAAACTTAGTCTCATCCAGAATTGTAGAAATGTCTAGGGAGCTTCGCAAAATACTGGATATTGATTTCTTCCTTGGGTGCTAATAAACAAAGAGTGGAGGGAGACTTGTAGGCTGGGGGTGGGGAGACTGGTCCTGGGCATTGTCTCATGTTCCTTTGTTGGTCCTTGGACTTGAGCTTGGGGCCTCAGTACTTCTCTTGAGCTCTTTCCTTGAAGGCTAGTGCTCTACCACTTTGAGCTATGAAGCTCCCCTTCCCATTTTCTGGTGGCTAATTGGAGACAAGAGTCTCATGGACTTTCCTACCCGGGCTCGCTTTGAACCTGAATCATCTGATCTCAGCCTCTTAAGTAGCTAGATTACAGGTGTGAGCCACCGGTGCTGGTCTTACTTCTGGCTTTTTTTTTTCTTTTTTCTTTTTTTGCCTGGTGCCTGAACTCAGGGCTAGCGCTCTACCACTTGAGCCACAGCACCACTTCTAGCATTTTCTTCTTATGTGGTACTGAGGAATTGAACCCAGGGCCTCATGCATGTGAGGCAAGCGCTGTACCACTGAGCTACCTTCCCAGCCCCTCACTTCTGGGTTTTTTGGTAGTTAATTGTTGATAGTCTCAGGGACTTTTCCTGCCCTGCTGTCTTTGAACTGTGATTCTCAGATCTCAGCCTCCAGAGTAGCTAGAATTATAGGTGTGAGCTAAGAAGAGTTTTTTAAGGGAATGTATATGTATCCCTAATTGCCTGATTTGGGCAGTTGAGAGGAATGGTAGGCAGCATGGTTACTTTGCCTTTCTCTTCCAGAATTCCCAAAGGGTTAAGTGAAAAGATTTTTGCAAAATATGAAGAACAAAAGAAAACACCTGAACAACAAAGAACATTTGAAGAAGATGTGGATGATACAGGTGAAGATTATTTATTTATTTAGAATAATTTGCATGTTTAGGATTTTTGGAAGCCTGAGTTTAAATTTCCAAATTAACTCTACTGTTGTCCATATAAATATTCTATCTGGCTGATTTCCCTGGTTCCTCATCATATAAATTAGATTATTTTTCAACCTGCATATTTGTTGATATTAAATTGGCAGTTCTGGAACTTTGCTTTTATTATTATTATCTTTTGTTGGTGGTGGTGGTTGTGGGGCTTGAACTCTGGGTCTGGGCTCTATCCCTGAGCTGTTCAGCTCAAGCAAACGCTCTACCACTTGAGCCACAACACCACTTTTGGTTTTCTGGTGGTTAATTGGAGATGAGTGTTTCACCAACTTTCCTGCCCAGGCTAGCTTTTGAACTGTTATCCTCAGATCACAACCTCCTGAGTAGCTAGGATTACAGGCATGAGCCACTGGGTACCCGGCTTCATCATTTATTTTTTTGTGCTGGTCTTAAGGCTTGGACTTGGGGCCTGGGCACTGCCCTTGTGCTTTTGAATTCAAGACTAGTGTTCTACCACTTGAACCACAGCTTTACTTTCAGTCTTTTTCTGGTGCTTAATTGGAGATGAGTCTCATACTCTTCTGTTGAGACTGGCTTCTAACCAGAATCCACAGACTCAGCCTCCTGAGCAGCTAGGATTACAGAAGTGAGCCACTAGCCCCTAGCTTAACATTAGTAACAGGATTAATCTTAAGAAGCTAAAGAGAGTCTAATCAATGTGGGGCAGGGTGTGTTTCATGTCTTTTTTACTCCCTTAATTTTGCTTACAGCTTCCATAGCAAGAGTGTATTTATCTGACACAAGAATGAACTGCCATGACCCAAAAGGTCTGTGTTGACCTGGTTCCCTCCCAGCATCCTACTTGCTCTTTGCTTTCCTTATCCACTCTATTCATCCTGGCCTTCCTCTTTCTGCTGGCCTATTATTAGCCTTTTTCTCCCTGTAAGACTCAAATTTTGAAAGACCTTTGTTTGCTTTTCTTTCCCCTTATGAATGTTTTTTTTTGTTTTTTGTGTGTCCAGCACCTACCAAAAAGGGAAGAAAGCGGAAGGCACAGAGGGAAGATGAACCTTCAAATAAAACTCAGAGGACAGTGACATCAAAGGAAGTACGTGTTTTATTAAGAGCTACATATAGGAAATAGAAGTCTAGTTCTCAAGACCTACTCTTTCTGAAACAAATATACCCTGTAGCTGGATCCCAGGAATCCCATGACCTGGTTGAAGTTACTTAAAATTGGATCAGGGAGTGGCTCACTGGACAAGAGTCCTTAAGTCTACATCTTATATTTCAGGAATTCCTGAGCACTGATTTCAAACATAGGCCTATTGGCTGGAAGAGCTGTCTTGCATCATCCCAGCAAGATAATACAGAGCAGGCTAGGTTGGCAAGATCAGTGATCTCTATAAAGGGCAGCTTTGTAGCATGTGTGTGGAGCTGTAGGAGCCCCTCTGGGGAGGGCAGTAGTTTGTCAGGAATGCTGCAGAAAGGATTTAACCATTGGGTATCAGCAACCCTTTATGTAGTTGTGATCAAAATACCTAGGATGACTTAGAGAAATGAATTTGGCTCACAATTTTCAGTGGGTTCAGTCTTAGTTGCTAAGCCCCATGTGCTGGGCAGAACATCATGGCTTCAGGATTATATGCTAGGGAAAAGTTGTTCATCTCATAGTGGACAGGAAGCAGAGAACAGTGATGGAAGGCTCTAGAGCAAGGACACATCCCAGTGGCCTTTCTTCAACCAAGCAACAAGTTCCTCTACCTCCCAATAATCAGATTTTTCCTCCCATCAGTGGATTAGCAGAACCCTTATAAAGGTATCATCTGGGCACGTGGCACAAACACACCTAGAGGTATGTTTACTTACCTAGGCATTTCATTTCAGAACTAGTCTATCTGGTGGAAGGATCCGCCAGATCCTTTATAGCTCTGCTTCTAGCAGCTGTGGTGGAAATGCACAGGAAATAAAGCAGAAGTGAGAAACAAGACCCTTAAGGTGTATGGCTCTCAGTGTTTGATGGAATTTTTTTCTTGTCATTTTTTTTTTGTTGTTGTTACAGCGGAGGAGAGCAGAACGACAGCAACGATCCAAAAGAGTTGGTGTACGCTACTATGAAACACACAACGTGAAAAATAGAAATAGGAACAAGAAGAAGAGCAATGACTCAGAGGGACAAAAGAACAAACACAAAAAATTCAGACATAAGCAGTAACGTCTAAAAAGTTCTTTATTAACTTATACAAAAATAGTCAATTAAAGATTGTATTCATTTTCTTCATGTTCTGTTGTTATTACTAAGGCCACAGTGCACTAGTTCTGAGGTTTGGAATTTGAAGCCATTACCAGTGCTACTGAGAACAGAGGTAGAGGCCTTCAGCATTAAGGTCTGCTGTCCAGTCCGATGGCACTTCAGGGACTTCAAATGGTCCTGGGTTCTTTGAGACTCTGCCCTTCCAGAATGTCTACAGAAACAGGTGGTCTGTAGAATGCCATTGCTTTTGTGCTGCAAGTACAGGTTTGGGACAAATGCGCACAGGACTAGGCTTTACAGTATGAGGGGAAAGCTCTGGTAACTTTTCAGTTCATTGAGTGTGTTAGGTGGGCTCATTAGGACGTTCTTGCATTATTGTGGAAGTCATAGAACCAGCAGATCTCAAAGAAGAGTTCTTTCCCAAGAAGTTGGCAGCACAGTCAGGTCACTTTAGTGAACACTTAAAGTTCCTTAGGACACCTGGTTATGGTTAAAGTGAACTAAGTGGGGGCATGCTTGACTTAGAAAGCAGCTCTTTTGTAGGATCAGTTCTTCCAAAGAGCCTTGGAGCCCTGAACAGAAAAGATGACATCAAAGCTCTACCAAGGAGTGAGCCTTCTGCCCCTCTTCAAAGAATATTGAGTGCCTGTCTGAGGCATCCTATCTGAATGGAATGCTTTGGCTTAGTGCTGACAGCAGTACTTAGATAAAACTTGGTGAATGGTGGGTGTCACCCAGCTTGCTGCCCTGAATAAAGATATAAATTGTTCACTTACTCTCAGTCTATAAAAGATGTCTGCAGGGTATAGCCTGACAATTAGTAATTAGAACTGCATGTGAGATGTCGTATATTAAAACAGCTAATGGTGTGGATCAGGGTTTGATAGTTTGCAGAACAAGATCAAGTGCATTTGTGGTCGGGGGAGCTGAGGTGCAGAGCTCAAAATATACTGGGACTTTGATTGCCAGCAGTCACTTTTTACATAGCCACGAGTTCTGCTGCTTTCTAATCTAGGCGAGGAAATTGAGGCACACGAAATCTTGTTTACTCAGCGGATAGGGATAAGCTGACACAGTATAACCACAGCTTGGAAATGAGTTACTAAAACTTGCCTTAGAGTAGGAATGAAAGTGGAGGGACAGGCCAGAGAACCCAAGTTAGAGTACAAGGTGAACTGAACCAAACATTTGAGGGACAGGAGCAGTTTCTTTGTCCAGAAGAGGCTGGTAAGGAATGCTGATGGGAAAGCAGTTGCCTCCTAAGTTACTATTTTGGTTGACAGTCCCCAGTGTGGCTGTGAGCTGAATACTAGAACCAGGGTTCTCCACTTTCCATTGTCCAACTAGGAGCCTGGCTGCCAGACCTGAGGGATTTTACAACACTGGGGCAATAGCATGACTTCTGACAAATGCATAGGTGATGATCTCAGGAGGGGAGGGCTTGTTCACTAAGGAAACTACCTTTTAATTACAAAGAGCTGTGGTGGGGTAGTAGCTTTCACTGAGACCCATATGGAAATTATCACTTCTTTGGTGCGATAATGCCTTCCAGTTGGGCCTGAAAAACAAAAGCAAATTCTGTTAATACTTGAAGCTTGCGGCCTGACACATAGCTGAAAAGGTGATAGAAGTCTGGGAAGAAAACTCCAAATGATATCCTCAATTGTTCTTTGTCCTTTCATTTCCAATTTTGTATTTTCTAGATTAGCTGGCTTCTGGTATGGCATATAGTCTTGCTAGGTTAGGGATACAAGAGGACCTAGTTTCCACACTAATGGCTTAGTATATAATAGCACTGAAAAGGAAATTGAATAAAAGTTGTTGAAATAGTGGTTTTTTACATTGCTCAGATTTTAGGCCTGAATATGTCTGTTAAGTTAAAAAGTTGGCTGGCTAGTTCAGGATCCTGAGAGCTCTTTTGGGACCAGAGTTTTGGGAAACAGCAAATTATCAGCCACTAAGACAACTTGACACCCAATTAGAGAAAATTACTACCAGTGAGCAGGGAGTTGTCCATCTTGTACACTTGGGAGTTACTCTGCTTCTCTGGCAGCCAGAGCAGTAATTTACTATCAGAGTATGTGGACAGATCTTTAAGTAGGTCTATCTAAGGAACTGCAAACAGTGCTTTATTTGCAGTGCAGCTTTGAGCCAATAAAAATAACTCACTTGTAAAGAATCCTTCACCCTGGGGATTACAAGGTTGTCTTTGAATGTTAGATATTAAGGTATTGAGCTTTTGCTCTTGTTGTGGATACTGTAGGGGGGAACTGAGGAACTGGGACTTGTGACAGAAGAATGTGGCAGATAAAGGCATGTGGCAAATAGCAAAACAGCTTCAGAGGCTGTTGAGTAAACAGTCACATCTGGCTGTGAACATGTGTCACTTTTGTTTCTGTTAAACTCTTCTGCAACAAGAAAGTCTCTGTCATCTGCTGGTGGTTAATACAAAGCTGCCTTTTTCAAATGGTCAGACTTTGGGGATTGGAGAGCCATTATGCCTGCCAGTCAAGAACTTAAGCTTTCTTTTTTTTTTGTCAGTCATGGGACTTGAACTCTGGGCCTGGGCGCTGTCCCTGTGCTCTTCAGCTCAAGGCAAGTGCTCTACCACTTGAGCTACAGCTCCACTTCCAGTTTTGTAGTGGTTTATTGGAGATAGGAGTCTCAGGGTCTTTCCTGCCGGGGCAGGCTTTGAACCAAGACCCTCAGATCTCAGCCTCCTGAGTAGCTAGGATTACAGGCGTGAGCCACCCGCGCCTGGCCAAGAACGTAAGCTTTCTGCAAGGCCAGTGCCATAGGGGGAAAACTGCTCAACATAAATAGGCCGTGTATTTAGAAGAGTAATGTTTACACTTCACCAAGCCCAAGAATGGATTCTTCATACCTTGAAATGGATGATTGGACCTCGACCCCATAGTTTGTTTTTTGGTCGGTCCTTGGTGTTGTTCCTGAGATTTTTGTTTCAAGGCTAGCACTCTGCCACTTTGAGCCACAGTACCACTTCCAGTTTTGTTAATTGAGCCACAGCACCACTTCCAGTTTTGTTAATTGAGCCACAGCACAACTTCAGGTTTGTTAATTGGAGAAGAAAGTCTCATGAAGTTTCCTTCCCAGGCTGGCTTTGAACCATGATCCTCAGATCTCAACATCCTGAGTAGCTAGGATTACAGACGTGAGCCTTATTCAGTCTTTTTCTCTGTGTGTGTGCTGGTACTGGGGCTTGAACTCAAGGCCTGGGTGCCATCCCTTAGTTTCTTTACTCAACGCCAGCATTTTACTACTGGAACCATAGCTTCAATTCTGGCTTTTGGTGGTTACTTGGAGATAAGATTCTCATGGACTTCCTACCTGGTCTGGCCTTTAAACTTAATTCTCAACTTCCTGAGTAGCTAGTATTACAGGCATGAACCACAGGCTCTTGACTTTTCAGCTGATCATAAGTGGGCCATAAATTTGTGAGCAAGAGAATGCAGGTCCGGGCTCAGCCTTTGAAAAGCCTGGGGTCTGAACACCTGTGGATCAGTCCTCCCTGCAGAAGCCTCAGTTACATAAAAACATGCCACCAGCAAGGAAGCTCAGAAGAACTAACTACAGCTCTGTTCCTCTGACTACACACCTGGGAAAGGATCCCAAGTGTTTCTTCCTCTCAAGAGCCTTCCTTGCTCACCTGCTCGTCCATCTGGCTTTCCCTGCTTTTGCCTTGGGTCCTGCTTCAGTAGATGCCAGTGACAGAGCATTTTCCTCAAAATACTAGAGATCTGGCCCATGGGAGAAAACTCCAAAGATCAGCTTTAAAGAGTGTTAGCTCCACATTTTTTGTGTGTGCTGGTACTGGGGCTTGAACCTGAGGACTGTCCCTTAGCTTTTTCACCCAAGGTTGGTACTCTACACCACATACACTACAGTTCCACTTCTCAATATTCTCTCTCTTCTAGAAACTGCCCACTGGAGAGCCAGGGTGTGGTGCCATAGTAGGGATAAGTTGAGAATACAGTCCCTTCCACAGTTTAGAGGGACAGAGAACTCGAGTAATGAGCCCTCACCTGTGTCCCAAATAAGTCTCCCTATCTCTCTGCAGTGCCTGTGGACCAACATTTAAAGCCTTGAGTGAGCTATGAAGTGGCTCAAGTAGAACACTTGTTTAACAAACACAAGGTGCCAAGTTCAAACCCCGGTATGCCCAAAAGTAAAAATGAAAACCATATGTGAAACTGGATCCAATGGTCTGGCCTGGGAAGCAGGGCGGGGTACCTTCCACCTGGGGCCTGTTCCTCCATTTACCTTCAGCTGCTGATTTGTCCGCTTTAGGAACTGAATCTCCTCATTGTGTTTCTTCTCCTCCACCTGTCTTCTCTCACTCTCCCGTTTCTCAGTGGCCTCGCATTTAGCTTTCTGCTCATTCACTTGCCTTTCCAGATCTCTCTTCTCAGTCTCTAAATCTGCAATCTAAGGACAAAGTGCCCAGTCATCCTGAGAAGTTGCCAAGTGGGAAGATGATGTAAGGACCTGGGGGTGGGAGGACAGGACTTGGGACACAGTTGTCCAACTCCAGACATTGTCAGAGTACCGTACTACTGCCACCCAGTGGGGGGTCTGTGATCAGCACAAAGTGGCCTCAGACAAGATCACCAGGCTAGACTGTGAAAGCAAGAGTCCTCACTGAAGTGCAGGTCCAGAGCAGCCTAAAGGCCAGAATTCAGTGCTGCAAGGACAATCGGGGCAGGAGATGGGACAGAAGAGTCTTAGAGCCAATAGATCATGATGAACCCCACTCACTTTCCTCTCCATGTCTGATTTCCCCTGTTCAGCCTGCAGGGCCTTCCTCATGCCAAATGCCACGCTGCTCTCATACAAGGTCTGGTAGGCAGCAATGGTCATGCGGATCTCATCCCGGACTCGAAGCAGCAGCAGCCCCCTCTCCGCACAGTTGATGGTGACCTCCCGGATCAGCTCATCTTCCAGTGTGCAAAGGGGAGAACAGAGAAAATGGAGGGCAGGAAAGTATACATTTTCTACTGTAAACCATCCTACCTGTTGGGAAGGGCTCTAGGGTGTGTCCTTAGGTCTCAGGGAGAGTACATTCCATACCCCAAGAAGCCTGGTCATGCAGATGCTCCACTGAACTCTGCATTTCAAAGTACAGCCAGCAAGATACCAGTAAAGAAATCTGACCTTTTCATTGGAAATATGGTGGTATTTTAATACAGCAGTCCCTTTGGCCAGATTGATTTGGAAAGCAGGGTCTAGATCTTGCCTCCATCTTTCTATAAACATCTGGAGGGAAAACCCCACCCATACTGAGGCTGAGGGAAGCCTTCAGCTGCCCTGGAGTTTGGAGGTGTTTTGCAGATCAGAGTCCACAAGCCAGCAAGACTGGACTGAGTGGCACATTAGCACCAGCACTCAAGATAGCACATCTTAAATCTCTTGTATCTGTTGATTAACTGAGGGCCAATGTTGATGGATGAATGGATATATAGGACATGAATTTTTCTGATTAAAAATTAACTGCAAAGCTGGACACAAGTGGCTCATGCCTATAACTCCCTACTTGGGAGGCTGAGATCTGAGGATCATGGTTCAAAGCCAGCCCGAGCAGGAAAGTCTGTGAGACTCTCATCTCCAAATCAGCCACCAGAAAACGGGAAGTGGCGCTGTGGCTCAAGTGGTAGAGCATTAGCCCAAACTGAAGAGTGCAGGGACAACACCCAAGCCCAGAGTTCAAGCTCCACGACCAACAAAAAATAAAATAAGCAATAAGTGCAAAAGGAAGTGGCACTGTGGCTCAAGTGCAGAGTGCTCGCCTTGAGCTGAAGAGTTCAGGGACAGCACCCTGGGCCAGAGTTCAAGCTCCACAATTGGCCGGGCGACAGTGGCTCACACCTATAATCCTAGCTACTCAGGAGACTGAGATCTGAGGATCACAGTTCAAAGCCAGCCCAGGCAGGAAAGCCCATGAGCCCTAGCCTTGAGCTGAAGAGCTGAGAGACAGCACCCAGGCCCAGAGTTGTTTTGTTTTGTTTTTAAGTGCATGCTTATTATAGAAATCTTTGAAAACATTAAGATTTAAGTGGAAAGTTCTTGTCTTACTCCAAATATCTGCTCAGGAATAAGGAACCTAGGTTTCCAAGAATACAGTGACTGTCAGATGGGCTACTGGTATGAGATCTTGGGAGGGGAAGAGGACTCATTTAGTAGTTGCTGAGTAAGTCAGACAGAGTTGGGGGAGCTTCAACTTGGGGGTGCTCAGGGCTTGGATTTGTGCTGAAGGAGAAGGGAAGGAGGCAGGAGGATGTATAGTACTCACCAAAACACTGTGAGTAGAGCTCTCTGCGGACAGGGCAGATGCCCGTCTCCCTGGCCTGTCGCTGCTGCAGCTTCAGGTCCAGTTGTTCCTGAAGGTGTACCACGTCCATCCTGGTGCTGGGGGTGCTGGACACCTGCTGGATCCATAGCTGCGTGTCTTCCACCCACTCCCTGTGGCACAGACACAGCCAGAATGAGCAGAATGAAAACTTACAGATGTCAGAGGGCCTGAAAAGCTCTTAGCCTGAGTAGGAGTGAGAGCTCTGCTACCAGCCCTTTAGAATCTCTCCCTTTCTCTTGGAGTATGAGCTTCAAAGTAACACCCACTATGCTATCTCCCCCAGGGACTCTACCTCAGGGCTGGGTGGGTGAGGTCACCTTCCACAGGTCCTCCAATCCACCACTATTCCACATCTTACTCTCCTAGCATGGTGAGAAGGGACTTACAGTCCTGCTGCTTGATCTGAACAGAAGGCCCACAAGACACCATAAACCTTGGGTGTGTCAGAAAGAAGCACATGTATGTTAGGAGCAGTGAGGGTCTTGGATATTGTGCTAGAGCCATGCCAGGTTCCTGAATGACAAGGGAGCTAGCTTCTGTGCTATTATTGATGGGAGGAAATCAAGTGACAAATCAAGCCCCTCCCTTGACATCCATCTGAGAAATGACACTCACTTCTGGTTTCTCTACTTCACAGCCTTATAAAGGTCACATGTGCTACACAGGACTGCAGAAGTAAAGCCAGGCAAGGGAGCATGTTAAAGAGGGGCTCTAAGCCGGGCGCTGGTGGCTCACGCCTATAATCCTAGCTACTCAGGAGGCTGAGAACTGAGGATCGCGGTTCAAAGCCAGCCCGGGCAGGAGAGACCGTGAGACTCCTATCTCCAATAAACCACCAGAAAACCGGAAGTGGCGCTGTAGCTCAAGTGGTAGAGCGCTCGCCTTGAGCTGAAGAGCTGAGGGACAGCGCCCAGGCCCAGAGTTCAAGCCCCACGACTGACAAAAAAAAAAAAAAAAAGAGGGGCTCTAAAAGAGGAAAGGACATGAGCAATGCCTGCACAGGTAATGAAAAGAAGAGAACATGAGAACAGTAACTGTCAAGGCCCTGAAGTGATTAAGGTGTTTCAGAAATGATGTGATGGCCTTTTTGGCTTTAGCACAGTGAACAGGATGGAAGATAAAGTGATGAGAGCAGGGATAGGTCATAGGCCACATCATGTCATGTCTTCTAGGCATTGTAAGGACTTTGCATTATTAGTATTTATTATTATTATTATTACTATTTTGCCAGTCCTGGGACTTGAACTCAGAGCCTGGGCAGTGTCCCTGAGCTTCTTCTGCTCAAGGCTAGCACTCTACCACTTGAGCCACAACACTACTTCTGTCTGGCTTTTTCTGCTTATGTGGTACTGAGGAATTGAACCCAGGGCTTCATGCATGCTAGGCAAGCACTCTACCACTAAGCCACATTCCCAGCCTGCATTCTATTACTACTATTATATTTATTTTTATTCTTTTTTGCTGGTTCTAGGGCTTGAACTCAGGGCCTGGGCCCTGTCCCTGAGCTGCTTTTGCTCAAGGCTAGCACTCTACCACTTGAACCACAGCTCCATTTCTGGCTTTTGTGTGGGTGTGTGTGGTTAATTGGAGATAAGAGTGTCACAGATTTTTTTTTTTTTTTGGTTGGTCGTGGGGCTTGAATTCTGGGCCTAGGTGCTATTCCTCAGCTCTTCAGCTTAAGACTAGCACTCTATCACTTGAGCCACAGAGCCACTTTTGGTTTTCTGGTAGTTAATTGAAGAGTCTCACAGACTTTCCTGTCTGGACTGGCTTTCAACTGTGATCCTCAGATCTCAGCCTACTGCATAGCTAGAATTACAGGCATAAGCCATCAGCACCCAGCAACAGGATTTCTTATCCAGGCTGGCTTTGAGCCATGATCCTCAGATCTCAGCCTCCTGAGTAGCTAGGATTACAGGTGTGAGCCATTGGTGCCCAGCTATGATTTTACATTTTAGAGTCTGTTGATATGACTTGTGGTTAAGGTGTTGAGGACAGAGTTCAGGAACAGAGTGGAACCAGGGTTTACCAACATGAAGCCACTGCAGCAGTGCAGGTGGCAAACAGTAGGAACAAGATAGCAAAGGCAGGGGACAATTAGGTAGATGGACTTGGGAGATCCTATGAAGCTGGAGTAAAAGAAAATTGTTAAAGGAAAAGAAATATTGTGTGAGAATTCAAAAGCAATGAAAGGAATAGTCAGGGTGGTACATGCCTGTGATTCTAGCACTCAGGAGTCAGACCCAAAGGATTATGAGTTTGAAATCAGCCTGAATCACATAGCAAAACCCTGTCTCAAGCAAAAGAAGAAAAAAACACAAATAAATGAAGCCAGGCACCAGTAGCTCAGGCCTGTAATCCTAGCTACTCAAAAGGCTGGGATCTGAAGAATACAGTTTGAAGCCTTCCAGAACAGAAAAGACCACTTTAATCTCCAATTCATCATAAAGCTGGAAGAGCTGTGACCCAAGTGGTAGAGCACTACTAGCCTTAAACAAAAAAGCACAGACATTCCTCAGTCTCTGAGTTTTAGCCCCAGAACCAGAACAAAAATAACCCCAAAACAGACAAAAAATTACCAAGCAGGGCTGTGAAGGTGGCTCAGTGGTAGAGTGTTTGCCTTGCATGCATGAGGTCCTGGGTTAGATTTCTCAGCACCACATAAACAGAAAAAGATAGGAGTGGCACTGTGGCTCAAGTGGTAGAGTGCTAGCCTTGAGCTGAAGAGCTGAGGGACAGCGTCCAGGCCCAGAGTTCAGGCCCCATGACCGAACCCCCCCCAAAAAATTACCAAGCACTGTTGGCTTAAGCCTGTAATCTTAGCCACTCAGGAGGCTGAGATCTGAAAGATCAAAGTTTGAAGCCAGCCTAGAAGTAAAGTGCATGAGACTTATCTCCATTTGTCCAGCAAGAAGCTAGAAGTGCAGGTTTGGCTCAACTGGTAGAACACTAGCCTTGGAAAAGTACAAGGTCCTGAGTCAAGTCCTAGTACCACCCACCCCCATACACACACACAGAACAATAACAAAAAAGAAGACTAGCGGTCTGTTCTCTTAGAAAAAGACAAAAGATAGTATGACATGCTGGTTGAAGAAACAAAACATTGTGATTCAGTTTATACACATCACATTGACAATGTTGGAAATCTTGAAGAAGACAATGAGGAAGAAATTGAGTTTATAGTGGAGTTTAGAGGAGAGGGCAGTGTTGTAAAAACATACTTGGGAACCATCAGTGTATAGATGGCATCAAAAGTCATGAGTCTGGCTAAGGACAATTAGAAAATAAGAGCAGAGTGAAGCTTCTCCTGCAGGAGCTAGGGGACACTATGAGGAAATTAGAGCCAGGCACAGTGGCAGACTGCCTCTCCCCATGCTCCTCAGTTGTGGGACATAAAAGGCTGAGTCTTTTTTTGGGGGAGGGTCTGGTTGTGGGGCCTGAACTCTGGGCCTGGGCGCTGTCCCTCAGCTCTTCAGCTCAAGGCTAGCGCTCTACCACTTGAGCCACAGCCCCACTTCTGGCTTTTTTCTTTTTTCTTATGTGGTGCTGAGGAATCGAACCCAGGGCCTCAGGCATGCAAGGCAAGTGCTCTACCACTGAGCCACCTTCCCAGCCCCCTGTCTCTCTCTCTCTCTCTTCTATATATATTTTTTTTATTATATAATTATATAATATATATGTGTATATATATATATATATATATATATATATATATAATTCGTGGGGCTTGAACTCTCGGCCTGGGCACTGTCCCTCAGTTCTTCAACTCAAGGTTGGCACTCTACCACTTGAGCCACAGTGCCACTTCTGGCTTTTTCTGCTTATGTGGTGCTGAGGAATCCAACCCAGGGCCTCATGCATGCAAGGCAAGCACTCTACCACTGAGCCACCTACCCAGCACAAAAGCCTGAGTCTTACTCCTACTTTTTTTTACCTTGGTGGAAGGATGGCATTCAAGATTTCTTCTGCCTGTTTGGTAGGATCTGGGACACAGGAGGTTGCTCCAAGCTTGGCCTTGGGTGGTTGTGGGACCGGGCCTGAGGGTCCAGGCTGCTGAGGGCTGACTTTCAGTGGCCGAGCCTAAGAAGGAGAGGAAGGCACATCTGAGGGTAGATGATAGTTGAGGCACTCTTGATTGCTTCACATCTCCTCTGCCATCCCTCCCTATTCCCACTTTGCCCATTCATCTTCCCAGTAGAAATGTCTCAGAGCTGATGGAGGCTATGAAAGGTCTCAGGTTCCAAACCACCCCCCTCCCCTCCCCACACAAAAAAGATGTCACTGACATGAGTGGTCTAGGCCTCCTCTCTCACCCCTCTTGTGATGGGACAATCACTATCTGATGGACATGGCTACTACCGTGAGCAGCAGAGCTCCATCCATCTCCCTGAGATAGCTCTTTCGTCCTAAAGCTGTCCTCTGGGTCACACTTACATTCGGGCTTCTCAGATGATTCTTCCACCCTCCTTCCCAGATGCAATTCCTTTTACTGCCAGTCACTACCATCCCTGTCCCTTGAGATTCCCGACCCTCAGGGTCCCAACCTCTCTGCATGGGAACTTCCAGGCTGAGTCAACCTCCTGAGAGTTGCCCTTACCTTGGGGCTCCGTTTTTCCGTATTCCGGCTCACCAACACTGGGGTGTCATACTTCAGCAGGGAATCCGCTGGGGGGATCATGGCGGCGGCCGGGGTAGCAGCTCAGCAGCGGCCCCTCCAGTCAGGACCTTGTTTGCCGTCACCATGGAAACCCCTTCTTGGCCAGGGCGGGGCTTCGGAGAGGGGCGGAGCCAGCCGTCCATGAGTTTCCTTTTTACCCCAAACCTCTGATACATGGTTTCTTAGGGGCTTTGGTTCTGGAGGAGGCCCAGGTACTATTGGATGCCGGGAGAACAAGGGTTCGAGTCCCTACGCTGAGCCTAATTCCCAATGTGAGTGGGGCTGGGCAATTCACATGTAACGGGAACAAATATGAATACTTCCATACAAAAATATATGTTTGGGGCTGGGAAGTTGGCTCAGTGGTAGAGCGCTTGCCTTGCATGCCTGAGGCCCTGGGTTCCATTCCTCAGCACCACATAAGCAAAAAGAAAAAAGCCGGAAGTGGCGCTGTGGCTCAAGTGGTAGCAGCGCTCAGGCCCAGAGTTCAGGCCCCACGACCGGACCCAAATATATATATATATATATATATATATATGTTTATTTCTCCAGTTTGCTCTTGTGAAAATTTTTTGGGGGGAGTAAACCTGCAACTAGTAAAAAGGGAAAACTAGTGGCTCTTGTTTGAGGCAAATAATATTTATAAGCTATGAAATGCTATACATTTGTTATAACAGTTGTTGGGTTTAACTCCATCGTGTGTTGTTCTCAAAGGGCTAGAAATATAGGTCTCGATTCTCCAGCCTACATCATCTCTGCCTTCCACTTATTCCAACAGAAAATCACACCCATGAAACGAAAGCTTGCTCTCCTGTTTGGGAGTAAATTGGGTATGGAATTCTACAGCTGATAGTGATGTTTTCCCTTCAGTTGTTGGGGAGCATACTCAGTGTCACTGAGTCTCCAGAAGTGTGCTTTTAAATTTAATTTTTGTGTATTGGACTTGAACTCAAGCCCTTGAGGTCTTTCCCCCTCTCATATATATTCCTTAATTGGTACTGGGCTTTCCTGCTTGGGCTTGCTTGGAATCACAGTCCTCTCATCTCAGCCTTTTGAGCAGCTAGGATTACAAGTGTGAGCGACCAGAACTGAGCTCACTCAGCTTTTTTTTTTTTTTTGGGTCCGGTCGTGGGGCCTGAACTCTAGGCCTGGGCACTGTCCCTCAGCTCTTCAGCTCAAGGCTAGCGCTCTACCACTTGAGCCACAGCCCCACTTCCGGCTTTTTTCTTTTTGCTTATGTGGTGCTAAGGAATCCAACCCAGGGCCTCATACATGCAAGGCAATCACTCTACCACTGAGTCACCTTCCCAGCCCCTCAGCTTTTTTTTCTGGCTTTCCCCACCCCCTCTACTGGCCACTTGTACCACACTTCAAGTCCAGTTTTCTCATCTGTAGTCCAGTTTCCTATTTTTCTCTTTTATTCTTTTCCTTTTAGTTACTTGGAGTTAAAGTCTTGTGGACTTCTGGCTGCCTTCAAACCACTATCCTCCAAGTCTCAGCCTCCCAAGTAGATAGGAATAAAGGTGTGTACCACCTGCCCTCTGCTATTAATTGATTGATTCATTCTGTTACAGCAACCAACACAGACCATCAAAGATCAAGACTACTTTTTAGAGAGGATAAAGGAGTTTATTGCCGCCATTGACCCCCAACTAGACTCTTAGGACTAGGTTAAATTAAACAAATTAAGTATTAATTAGACTAATGAAGAAGGAAATTTAACTGGGATAATTAAGTCCCAGCACCTAAAAATAAGAAATGCAAACTTGACAAAGGGGAACAAAACTGTGCTTTGACATTTACCAAGTATTGCAAAGCGCATAAAAATAGGGCCAACAGTATGCAAGGCTGACCACCAATGTCCCAATGTTTCTTTTTTTGTGATTATGCTTGCTTAGCAAATATATTAAAACAGAACTAGACCCTTTGCAGTTTTATTGATTAATATGAATAAGGCCAAACTTGAAAGGTGGGAATTTCCCTTTAGAAGAAAACCCAAAACTGAGAGCAAGGGGAAGATCAAGGTAAAATATTGCAGTTTCCCAGGGCTGGTGGGACTCGAACCCACAATGGGTGAAAGGAGTCACCAACACTCAGTCAATAGGACTAGGAATCATTAAATGGCCATGGCATCTGACCTCCACTACACCCAAACAATGAAGACCAGCAGTGAAGTCAAATAGCTCAGGGTATTTAAAGGCAAGATCCATAGGGGAGGGGGCACCACTAGCAGGTGGCCAGTGGTAGTTTCATGACTGGCAAAGAAGCAAGTTACAGAAGCAGAGCTAGCAGTTAGTGATTACAAAATGGTGATTACAATTCCAGTTATTCCAATAACCAAGACCATAAATCACAAGGCAAAGTTCTTATCCCAAATCTTCCCATCGAAGAAGCAAGTTAGTGAAATAGCAATTACAGCCTTTATATACAAAGTAGTAAGTTCTTGAAGCAAAAACCACATTCCAAATTTCTTATCACACCCCCAAAATTAAACCACCTTCCAGGTTCTGTGGCTCTGTCTGAGTTTCACTGTTATCTACTGAATTCCAGTAACCTGGTGTTTAACTAATTTACTTCAGGGGCTGGGAAGGTGGCTCAGTGGTAGAGCGCTTGCCTTGCACGCCTGAGGCCCTGAGTTCGATTCCTCAGCACCACATAAGAAAAAAGAAAAAAGCCGGAAGTGGCGCTGTGGCTCAAGTGGTAGAGCGCTATCCTTGAGCTGAAGAGCTGAGGGACAGTGCCCAGGCCCAGAGTTCAGGCCCCATGACCGGACCCAAAAAAATAAATAAACTAATTTACTTCAAATCTTTATCTCTGGAATTTTCCCTTTAATGACTAATCTGCAGTTTCTACAAGGAGATTTTGCCTTTCAAGTTTGGCCTTATTCTTCCTCACTTTGCAAATTTCAGTAAATGCTGGGCCTCAGTTTGTTCTATTCCTAGGGTCCGTACTTACGTTTCTCAGGTTACCTGGGATTTGTTTGTCCCAGTTAAATTTAGTTTTTCCTTGGTCTAATGAATATTGTTTAATTAACCTGGTTCTAACAAAGGATGAGAACTTTGTCTTGGTTATTGAACTTGTAATTGCCATTTATAATTATTAACTGCTAGCTTTGCTTCTGTAACTGGCTTCCTTACTGATTGCAAAATTACCACTGACCACCTATGAGTGGCCTCTGTGGTTTTTGCCTTTCTATTCCCTGAGCTATTTGAGTTCTGGGCTGGTCTTTATCTTGGGATTAATAAAGGTTCCTAACCCTATTGATTGTTGAGGACTTCTTTCACCAAGCGTGGGTTGGAGTCCCACAGGCTCTGGGAAGTTGGAATACTTCAGGCTAGTGCCAGAAGAAGTTTGGATCCTAAGGGAGGGGAGACCTTGTTTTTTTTTTGTTGTTGTTGTTGTTGTTTTGTTTTTGCTAGTGCTGGGGCTTGAACTCAGGGCCTGGACACTGTCCTGAGCCTCTCTATGCTCAAGGCTAGTACTCTACTGCTTAAGCCACAATACCATTTCTATTTTTTTTTCTGTTTATGTGGTACTGAGGAATTGAACCCAGGGCTTCATGCATGCCAGGCAAGCACTATACTACTAAGCCACATTCCCAGCCCAGACCTTGAGTTTTATACAAGCTGGTTACACACATTAATCAGATATACAAAAGGTCAGGCAGGCTGACATCAACTTCTGACCAGGTGAACAATTTCTTTCCAGTTGTGCAGAAATCATGATATCCAGTTCTACTCTTTCTGTATTGTTATAAATATATATATATAGGGACTGGGAAGGTGGCTCAGGGGTAGAGTGCTTCCCTTGCATGCATGAAGCCCTGGGTTCGATTCCTCAGCAACACATAAGAAGAAAAAAGCTGGAAGTGGCGCTGTGGCTCAAAGTGCTAGCCTTGAGCTGAAGAGCTGAGGGACAGCGCCAGACCCAGAGTTCAGGCCCCACGACCAAAAAAATAAATATATATTTTATATATATATATAATATGTTTTATATATATATATATATATATATATATACCTATCTTGGTGGGTTTCCTGTCCTTCAGATAGCCCCACGTTGTCTGCCCCCAACTCACATTCTAGCAACAGCCCCACTGGGCCACTTTCCGGCAACTGGGTGGGGGCCAAATGGATGCTGGAAAGGTCCTCGCTGGGAGAGGTAACTTTGATGCGGCCTGTTTTTTCTGGGGCTCGGCACTCAGGCCTGATGCGCTTACCGAGCTGGAACTCTACTACTTGAGCCACGCCCCCAGCCCTAGATACTGCTTTTGAAGTATAACCATCTACCACCCACCCTGGTTACCTGGAGCCACGCCCACAAGGGCGTGGTCACACGCCCAGAACTTTGAGGCCGTGAGGGCTTCTGGGAAGCACACCCTCCCGGAAGCGGAAGTTGAGGGAGTAGGCGCGTCATTTCCTGAAGATAAAGGCGAGCTCAACGGCCTGGACTTCATTTGCTCCGTCCAAGCTGCGGGATGAAGGAGGTGAGAAAAGAGCGAGTGCGCGGGGGCCGGCGGAGGCACCGGAACGGAGACGTGGTGACTATGGCCCCGGCTGTGGTGGTGAAGCAGGAACGCCTCAGTCCGGAAGCCGCGCCTCCCCCCCAGCGC